ATAGACAAATTTCAAAAAGTCAACTTCACTGCTTCGTAGTTATAATGTTAATATATAACTGCATTTATTGTTTTACTCAATCTAAATACAATGAAATCAAACTCTCATCTAACAGTATTTTCATGGACAAAGATACGTAAAACGTTAAATACCAAGCTTAAATAATAAAATTCCAGGTTCCCGCTGATCTTGGTACAAAAGTGCCTTATTTGTTAACGATCGATCGTTAAATTGGCTTGTTTCAAATGTGACACAGAATTCCGAGCAATCTTAAAAACGATGTATAATCGTTAAGAGTAGAAGCGAATTTTTACTCGCGACGGCGAAGGAACGCAGAAGCCAGTCGAAATGACCCACGCGTAAATTCTATCGGCTACGGTATAAATTTCAATTGGATGCGCGAGTTGCAATTCGTCGTTTAACGAGACCTGTGAATAGTTTCGCGTTAGGCAACGAGCGAACAATACCAGCGATCAACGGAATCGCATTCAGAGTTGATAAGGAAAAATTTATTCGACGATCGCCCGGAATTATTCTCGGTAATAGCCGTATGAATAAATAGTAATGAATTATTGAAACAAATTCCGCGAGCTGCGTAGGAGAAGTTTCTCGCGTGAACGTTCAGCGATCATTTTTATCCGAGATTTTCGCGGCTTTCTGTGCTCCAGGAAACGGGACGGAATTACATTCGCGCAGTTTCGATTAAAAAACGAATGGAATGTCGTAAGCTTCTTTCCCTGTGCGACGATTCGTCTACACGTGCGTTGATTAACCCCATAGAACAATGAGTGAGACTCACGATGAAGGTTTCTAGATTAATTGAACAGAAATCAATGTACATTTCCCACGGATCAAAGCAAAAAACTATTTCTCTGTTACATTTTACACAGGGTGTCTCCTAACATGACCTCAAATAACTCGTAAGATATTCGTTGTACGAAAAAATGTTTCATACACATACAGTACTCTAATCTGTTTTATTACATTACTTTTTTATTGAGATATTAGGGTCATCTTCAGTTTTTTTAAATGGAACGTCTAATATTTTTTTTCGAATTCGAATAAATCATCAAATTCTGCGTAAAAAAATATTGCACGAAGTATGTCCCCTTAGAAACCATGTAACTTTTGTTTGAAACATTTCTTCGTACAACGAATACCTTACGAGTTATTTGAGGTCGTCATGTTAGGAGACTCACCCTGCATATATATATCAATTTATTATCTTCAAATGAAATGTCCACTTTAAGAAGAGTGGAAAATTCTGTTGCATGAAAACGTTACACGAACTTAGTAGCTACAGTAAATACGCCAAGGGATACATTCTAACATCAGTATTTCTATACAAGTACCCGCCACGCAGCGACCTCTACAAAACAAAATGGCGTCCCCTAATGCCAGGAGTCCAACTCGCGTTTTCAGTCTTTCCATTATCAATGTACCATCTTCAAAAATGTACCCAAAAAGAAATGAATACAACCTAACATTCAATCCACAATTATTACATTACTGTATTACAAACACCATTACGAAACCAACAAAAATCCAAGAATCCCCTTGGAAACAAAAAATTCCCATTTCCCAGTTGTCCACATAATTCGTCCGAAATATTTCGGGTACGCGATCGACCCGAAAATTCGATGGCGGGAAAGGGCCTTTATCTCTCGCATAACACGCACAAAATTCTCCGTCGATCGATTAGCGAAAAACAGCCGGATTTCGGCAATAAATAACGAACGGATCCGGTGGATGGGGCGCCGGTGGATCCCGATACTATCGATACACGCCATCGACACTGTGCCGCGATACCAAAAGGATTCACGGCGCAACCCCTATCCATTCAGTCCCTCTACCCTCTCGCCATCCCCTCTCCCTCTCTCTCTCTTTCTCTCTCTCACTCTCTCTCACTCTCTTTTGCCAACCATTAACTCTTTCAGAACGCAACGCCGTATATCATGCTCGCCCGATAAGGGGGTGGTATAATGCGACCTTAACGTGTTGCTCGAGCGCTGATTATCGACCGCGGAACTCACTCCCACTGGACAATTCGCACTTTACCGTGTCGTTTCGCACGCTGCTCGATCGAACTGTTAGCGTGCACGCCGTTTACCCTTGAATTGCTGGGGAACGCCGAGGAAAGCGAGCAAAAGTGTCTCGTGCACTTTTAAAGTGGGGGATTTTTCATTGGAACGATTCGCAGTGGATATTCTACTGTTTTCTTTTGTTAGAGAATCATTGGTAGTGTGGGAAATCAGGTGTTGAGAGGTTAGTGATGTTTAAGCTTTTGAACGCTGAAGACTATAATATTGCACTAGTTTTGATATGAAGTATTTTAATGAATCTTGAGAAACTACCGTAAGGTTATTAGATTTTTCAGATATACAAATTTTGTTGTGCAGGGAAATGAAAGGTGTAAGAAATGTTCTAATATTGTTAATTTTTACTAGGATTATTATAACAATTGGTAGGTTGTTGATAGATCACAAAACTATCTGGAGTGCTAAGGGTTAAATTATTCGAAGTTAACACTGTTGTTACTGAAACTGTTAAAAGATATCTTTTTATATTGTTCGACCTTTCGAATGAACACAATAGTTTTGTTTTAAAAGACGATAGAGCGGTGAGCAGAGTTTACGCAGTCTATCAGTTATAAAGTGTGAAAGGTGTACCATTCTTCTTGTTCAGGGGCCTAGAAAATTGATTTATCGTTGCTTAGATATGCAAGATCGACGTTGAAGGATCGATTCTAAGTTATTAAACACGATCTTTACGAGTCGGGATGTAACAAAGCTTCGGTACTAGAACTACCTACCAGTTAGTTTTAAATATAAAAGACTATAATTCAAATAATACTACAAACTATAACCATAAAAAGACTATAATTCAAATAAGACTACAAACTATAACCATAAAAAGACTATAATTCAAATAAGACTAAAAACTATAACTATAAAAAGACTGTAATTCAAAGAAGAGTACAAACTATAACTATAAAAAGACTGTAATTCAAAGAAGAGTACAAACTATGACCATAAAAAGACTATAATTCAAATAATCCTACAAACTATAACCATAAAAAGACTATAATTCAAACCAGACTAAATCTTATTAACCACTGGCGATGGAAAGACGTACCACGCACATCGAGACGTTTCTGTCGCAAAATTCTCAATTATGTCTTTCACACATTGACAATCTTGTTGCATTACGCCTATTAGATTGTCTTGAAATGTATCACTCTGTACAGAACGATTAACAAACAAAATTCATCGCGCGAGACATTGCCAAATCTCTGAATTCATTTCTAGCGCAAGTGGTTAATACAATACGAGTATTTCATAGTACTAAACATTACTATTTCCATCGCAATCACCTCCGACTCCAAATACGAGAAACGTTCCTTTCGTAATCCTTCTAACGATGCGTGGATCCAAAGAAACTCCTCTCCTTAGAACGTTCACAAAAGGTTCCTTCGACGCAGTAAAAGGAGAAGCAAAAACGAGAACAGGACACGTGAGAAGTATTCGAATCGCGGTGGAAAAACGAAACTCGGTTACCATTATTGCCAGGGAGTCGATAGTCGCTTGAATTTCCTCGTGCAAGAAAAATTACCGTGTCGCCGATAAGCTGTTTTCGTACGACCTATGAACCATAAGGGCGGCGGAGCGGGCTGAACGCGGAAGTGCCATAACCACTTACATTTGCAAAGATAAGCGCGGCCGCCGCCGATTCGAAATGCTCGTTGCAGCTGCGCGACACTTATGCAGTTCCTCGAACGACGCGTAACACACGGGAACGGCGGATTCTCCGGCGTGTCGGGAAGTACGGGAGCATTTATCGGGGAATAACGAGTGGAAGGGAATTTCAGAGCCGGAGGTTCGCACCGCGATGAACTTTCATTTTCCGGGATAGTCTTGCCGGGTTTAGTAATTGCCGTGTGGAACTTAATATTTGGTTTTTCATTGTCCGCTGATGAAAGTTTGCCTTTGCCCCTTGCACCCGTGATTTCACTGTGGCGTTTGGAATAGTAATATTGGGACTGTTAATGTTGTTAGTAGTGGTATTATTGGTAATGTAATTGGTATCGGTATTATATTGTTAGTATTATGGATAATAATATTGCTATTGATAGCAATATTGTAATAGAAATATTACACCTAATAATACTGCATATTAATATCAATATTATAATATTAATATTAATATCAATATTATAATATTAATATTACACCTAACTATATTGCTATTAACATCAACATTGTATTGTTAATATTACAACCAATAATATTACTATTAATATCAATATTACATAGTCAATATCATAACCAATAATATCACTATTAATATCAATATTATAATATTAAAATTACACCTAATAATATTGCTATTAACATCAATATTGTATTGTTAATATTGCAACCAATAATACTATAATTAATATCAATATTACATAGTCAATATCATAACCAATAATATTGCTATTAATATCAATATCATAATATTAATATTATAACCAATAATATTGCTATTAATATCAATATCATAATATTAATATTATAACCAATAATATTGCTATTAATATCAATATTATACTGTTAATATTCCAACCAATAATATTACCATTAATATCAACATTCCACAGTCAATACCATAACAAACACTATCCCCACCATCAATCACCTCCCAACAGTCGAACAATCTCAAACTCCTCTTCCAAACGAAGCACAACCAAGAATCTTCCCAAAAACCGCTGGATCCCGCAATTAGTCAATCCTCTTACTCTCCCCAGAGCAAACACGCTCCAGAGCGATTAATCGAGAAACGAAGTCGAAGAGGAACGCGCAAGAAGCGAGAAACGAGCGTCCGCACGGCGAACCGCATCACGGCCTAACCCCGGGCGTTCATTTAACCCTTAAAAACGTGGCGGGCATCCAATTTCCCGAGGACCCGCCCCGGTAAACACCGCTAATAAACATTCTTCGTTCCTCTTTCTGTTGCAGCTCTATCGGCACACGTACCTGGCCCACTACAGGATCGTGAATCTGGAAACCTTGTAAGTAAACGACTCGCCGTCTCGCTCGAACTTTTCCAGCCCCCGAAAATTCCTCTGTCCTGTAACCGTTCTCCGGCCCGCGGCGCGCGCGCCATTTAGGATAATCGTATCTCAAACTTATTCCGCGGGTCGAGTTTAGATTTGCATTTTAATCTTCGCAGCCACCGCCGGATGGGAACGGGCGGCCGTCCCGCAAATTACGGCCGCCTCCCGCGAATTTCTGTCCCCGTCTTAGCTCGCCGGCGAGCCTCCCCGCGACGCCATTCGCGGGAATTCCATCTCGAGACTTAATTCGCTGTTTTAAGGCTTATAATCGCGATTACCGCGCACTACCGGCTGCAGACGGAATTTGTTCTGCGACCTCCCCTGCCGCCAGGGGATTAGTTCTTTGGCGGAACGTGCAGTTTCGGATTTTGAAGGACTGCTCGAGGAGTTAACGATGACTTCGAAACTGGTAGTTTTCGAGATTTGTTGGTATTAACCCTTAGCACTCCAGGTTTTTTTGTAATCAGCAACTAATTTTTATAGTGTTCATGGGGGAGAATTAGAAATTCTAGAATATTTCTTGGATTGTTTATTTTCCTTTTCAGTGGGAAATTTGGATGTGTGGAGGATCTAATAATTTTAGGGTAGTTTCTTTGATTTGAAAATATTTGATATTATAACTGATACGATATTGAAGCCTACAGAGTTCAAAGGGTTAACCCTTCGCTTGGGAGGTGACTCTCAGTCATCAGATTTGACGCAATGGGACTATAAGAGATGATGTTTAATGTTGAAATATTGGAATATAGCTTTATGCCTTGATATAATAATTGTCCTTCGAGGTAGCTTCAAAGAATATTGTTTTTGTCTCGTCAAAAAATTTAAATATTGTGAGAAACTTCCGAGTGCAAAGGGTTAAAGTTTCATTTTACTCAATTTTTATTCTGTTGTCTGTAATAGACCAGTCAAAGGTTAGTTGAAAAATGTTAAATATTTCTAGCAAGAAATTTCCGTGTGCAAAGGGTTAAAGTTTCATTTTACTCAATTTTTATTCTATTGTCGGTAACAAATAAGTCGAAGGTTAATTGAAAAATGTTAAATATTTCTAGTGAGAAACTTCCGAGTGCAAAGGGTTATTGATTCATTTTGCAAATAAAAATCAGTCGGATCGTATATTCTTAATCGAACTTCTATTACTTCCCATACTTTTAATACTAAAACTTGCCCAGTTTTCATTTCGTATTTACGATAAATTCATTATCCCGTATCTTTGATGTATAGAAACAAATCAACTCCATTCAACTTCTAAATCAACATTTCACTGCGATAATTCCCACCCCCTAGAATACCAAAAGCGAAGCAACCGATCCCCAAATTTAGCTACTATCTTAACACGTTGCCTGCCACGAGAATTTTGAGCATTTTATATTAATATTGACACTTTGGTAACAATTAATACTAATCTGATATCACAGTACTAGTTACTTATGTTACTAAATATTTTTATTCGACCCGAATTTTCTTATTGCCATTCTTCTCAAGCGATTTAAACGCTCCGATGGCCATCGTGGCAGTCAACGTGTTAACCGAAGCAGAATTCGCAACAATCCATCGAACCGACGAACTCCGTACTCATTAACATCCAACGTGTTTACAATACGGCCGAGCCGTTTCAAGGCAAGGGTAGAACGGTAGGGTTGAAAGTCGCGGGTAAATCGGGATCGTTGGAAAGTTGGCCGGGGGATGTACAGCTGTCGGCGGAGTTCCGAAAAAGCGCAACAACCAATATTGTTCGAGCAGTTCGAAAATAGTTTCCCCGGCAACTTCGCCGGTCTTTATGGAGCGTATCTGAAACTTCACCCCGTTCAGCGTTATACGATGGCGATGGATGAAAGCCGTCCCTCAAACTCGAAGAGAATAACCGCGCCTCCAGGAAAAACACCGTTCAACGCGGAAACACGTGATGCTCCGGCTGAGTTATTCTTTAATGACTTTCAGCGAACGACGCCGGAGTAAAACGGGCCGGAACGACCGGGGGTGGTTTGAAGCGCGCGAACAGCGGCCTGCCCGAAGAAAATTTAAATTCCTCGCGCGCCTCCGCGAACGCGAGAGCCCCTCAAATATTTGAATAAACTGTCTTGTTTCGGGTAAACACATTTTTTCTTCGAAGTTCTTTGAAGTCCCGCAAGGTTCCTATGCACAGGCTGTTCACTTTATTACTTTCGGGCAAGAACAAGAACGTAAAAATTAACGGACGCCGGCGGAGGGTTTTTATTGTTTACCGTGAAAGACGGGATTGCTTCCTTTCAGCCGTGGAGAGGCGATTTAAAGGATCCTTTTGTCGTTTCGTTCGGCATAAATGGCGAGTAGCAATGCTGCACCGTGTTCCGCAGTGATCCCTGCGTTTACTGTTTGGAAAAATCTTTCGGTGCACTGTGACTCGCCGGGATACTAAATATTATACAAGTTAATACAACTTCTATCATTAAAGTTTGCAACGGTCTTTATTGCACTGTTTGCGAGCTAGAATATCGAGTTCCGCGAGAGTTGTCGCAGATTTCAGCGTTCGTTTGATGTACTTGGTAATAAGAATAGTTTCCTTATATTTGGAGTTGTAGGAGTTTGTTATTAATTATAGTGTTCACCTCTAAGGAAACTGTAAATTTACTCTGATTCTAATTATGAAGGCAGATTGATAGATTTAAACGTTCGTTTTTTGGATGAAACTCGATAACTTAATAGTAGAAGTACCGAGTAGTCGAGTTGACTCAACATTTCTCTGTGGAAACCTTAAGTGTGCATCTATCGAAACTTCGATCACTCACGACTTAGATCCTGCTCTAAGAAATCCCTAAAGAAATTGTTTTAATAATACGCAAACTAAGTTGTGAGTTATATTATATGAAATAATAGATCCTTCTGTAAGAAATCTGTAAAGAAATTGTTTCAATGATACGCAAACTATTATCTTTTCAATAATTATGAAAGGAGAATTTAGGAATCGCCTATTTTGAGCCATCTGGAAGTTCTAGTATTAAAAGTATGAGTGATGCAAGCAAATGCTTCAGACAAAAGTTGTAAAGTACAGAGCTAATCATGTGGTGGTCATATTTCTTTTACATTACGTGAATATTACAAAGCTTTTTTAATGACAATAGATATTTTGCGTGTCGATTGCAACGTTATATGAATTAAGAAACGGAAATGATTTGCAGAAAATGTTGATTTTTCAAGTGAAAATCGTTTTGTATAGCAGAGACTACTTAGCAACATTGGTAACCTTCAATCTCCGTTATGCGAATCGTCGAATTTTGGGGTTTTGTAACTCGTAAATAGAAAACCGGAATTTACCTGCAAATTCTTATGTTTCCAATTAAAAGTAATTTTGTACATCAGATTACTTAGCAACAATGGTAACCTTCAATCTCCATTACCCGAACAGTCGAATGTCATCCAGAGTGCGCCGTCCGCGACGAAAATCTTCCGGGATAGCGCAGCGAAGCACCCTCAGTGTAATCTTCTTAAACCCGTAGGCAACGGTGAAGCTTGCCGCTGCGCCGTATCGCGGAACATAATTAGTCATCTATTATTTAACGGCCGCTACATAATTCATCGGGATTTTCGCAACATCATTTCACT